ATCTTGGTCATCACAGAGAATGCGAACCCTTCTCAACATTTTCTTCAGTTTTCTACAGCGCTCTATCCTGGTTAAAAAACTAAATCTGAGGCGTACGCATTTCTATCTCTCTCAAGAAAAAAAATAGCTCTTGGGCTCTACTCCCATTTGAGTTCTTGTTACGTGAGAAGTCCTCTAAAGAATAAGAACAAAAGGAATTGATTAAGCATATATCTTTGAATCTAGCCTAGTTTGATGAGATATGCATGGGTAAGAAAGGGTCCGAGGTCTTTGGGTTCCTTAAGGCGAGGAGAGACAAAGGAATTGATGCTTGATATTAGAGAATCTAGAGAGGGAAAGTGGGGTAGAGCGAGAAAGGGGGAGATAGGGTGTTTTGAGGCTTATGGTTGTGGTTCCCTTTGCATTTATGTATATGACAAACGAGGGATTTGGAGACCTGTAACAGGCGGTGCAGATATGGGCTGATGAGGAAAAGAGCGAGAGAGAGATACAGAGCAAACAGAAAACAAACCCCTTTCTCTCAGAGTGTTGTAAGTTGGAACCTCTTCCCCCTTTTCTCTCTCAAGAAACTGCCTCTCTCTCGCTGTCCCTCTTTCTCTCTCCTCTTCTGGATGAGAACTTCAAAAGTAAGGAAACCACAGTCTCTCTCTCTACCTTTTCTAGTTCATTTGGTTCAAAGTTCGTACCTCTCTCTAGCCTTTTCATATCTTCTTTTTCATACTTATTTTTAATCTCGTTTGATTTTATAAACCCTCCTTGCTACATTGTTCTTTTACACCATCAGAATTGTGACTCCTTTCTCCTCCTTGAACACTCCTTGGTGCACTCCTCTCTTTTGGAAGTCGAATTTGTCTTTTCTCTAGTGCTGCTGCCTACTGTTCTTTCTAAAGAAACAAAAAAAGACAAAATCATGTTGTTGCGTTCTATTGTTTCTACAAGCTCCACATAATCGAGACGACCAATATGTTCTTTGATCGCTCATGTGCCCTACTATCATTTCGTGTTTCAACTTTCTGTATTTGCTTCATGTATTTACTATTGTTATTGTATTCGAAAGGTTTCTAAGTCCCTTTACGACCAGTCTTCCCTCTGATGCAGGACCCTAGATGAGCTCGTTCTGAAACCCAATTCTAAATCCACCTTTGAAAAGGGCCGATCAGCACCCTTTGTAAATAGCCACTGATTCGTATTTTGACTCTGTGATCTGTCTTTCTACCGAGTTTTGTTTTAACTCTCTGATTTGTCTCTCTACCGAATCGTGTTTCAACTCTCTGATATGTTTTGAATCTTGTTGTTCTCAACTCTGAATCTTTGGTTCAATAGGGCTTGGTGATCTATTGCGGATCTTTATTGGCTCTGCCAAGTGCCTCATATTTGATGATCAAATTTCTCGATCCTGGTTGATGATCAAGTTTTCTGTTACTTGATCATGTCTAATGATTGAGTTTTTCATTACTTAATCATAT